TGGATGTCACGTAAGTGTCTTTAGATCAAACTCATTCCGTGTCAATGTATGTCTTATATGACGCTATGAGTTAAGTGTGCTAACATTAGCATGCTAACAAAACAAGGCAGGCCACGCATCACACATTCCACCTTTAACAGAAAACATAGATTTACTGAACTTCTTCACAGTCATTTATATTCCTCACAAACTTTTCTATAATGCAACTAGAAGGTCAAAGATAACATTTCAACACCCTGTAGAACATTTTTGCTTTACCAAAAACAATAGTTTGATGGAAACGTCAAACACAAGCAAGGATCTAGAAAGGAGGAAACAACGTCAGTAACGAACAGCTTTAAGTCCGATCGGACACACAGGTGCTGACAGGCAGAGCACGACATCGACCGTCTTCACTGTCAAACAAAACCATCGACATCATCGTCATCATTAAGGTCGTAGGTAATCATGAAAGAGCTGGGTCTTTAGCTTTTTCTTAAAGGTGCAAAGGAACTCTGCAGATCGAATGGAGTTTGGAAGTTTGTTCCACCACCAGGGGGGCGACAGAGGACTAGTTAGAGATTTAGGACATATAACATTAAGCAAAAAACAAGACATTAAAATACAAAATATACACCAATTTGTTTTTCGAGATTTGTGTTGGTTCTGTCAATAATATTGAACAATTAGAGCTGATTACAAAATACACACAAGCGCACACAAGAGTCCGGTGCTCTGAAGTCGCTGACCGCAGAGTCTAACTGTCCCGCCGGGCACAGATTCACCTGCTGGTCTCGCCTAGTCGAAATGGATTCTGTTTATTATCCCACATAAGAACTTTTTCCTGAGGATTTAGGCTCACAGTTTGCTCCGTCTGTGTCGAGTCACAGCTCGCTGAGGCTGGCTCAGACTTCCAGATACCCCTCTTCGGGGCACCTTACACAGCCCAACGCTCACCAACTACAACTCAGAATGCCTAGAATGTGTTATTATAATTAACTAAAACTAATGTTAAAAAAAATATAACAAAATGAAAGAGCTTGGAAGCAGATTGAAGAAAAAAAGTAAAATTTCTTTCATCACTGTAGGTACCTCGAGGGTGTTGCCATTCAGTTATGACCAAAAACCCCTTACTCACCACATATGTATGTGCACATGCTGGAGCTCATGTGTGCATGCCTGCGTCAGTCTCGAGTTCAAATATCCTGCAGCCCTGTGTGCAGGCTGCACGGACGCAGTGACACCTGAGAGTGTTAGAGGGTTTGGTCTGACTCCATGCTGTTACAGTAAGCCATTTGGCATCCACGCCTCTCTGCCGCTACGCTCGCACAGCTGTGAACGGAGAGGAAAAAGAGTGTAAAGAATCAACCTCTTAGAAAAACACAATGGGCCCACTACAATGTGGCTCATAAAGAAATGCTTTCAACAACCTGTTTCATACCTTTCAGTTCGTCCACGGTGGTTTTCTTTGTTCGTCCTGCCAGTAACAGCAAAGACACACCCCTCTGTTGGTTTGTCCAGGTGTTACGGGAAAACCATTTCAGTGACGATTTAAGTGAAAATGGAGTTAGTCACAATGAGTTTCAAATGTGGAGGCAGAGGGGGTGGTGGTTTAGTCAGCTTAGAATAATATTGTGGTTTGAGAGTGTCACAAGGAGCAGGTCAGTGAGTGCAGGTCAAGACTGTCTTTATATGCCTTTGCACACACACACACACACACGCACACACAAATACATACATCCACATGCACTCCTTTTTGAGTGCATTTGACTATCTGTATGCTTTCCCATATGGTTTTTATTGATCCGTGTCCCTGTTATACCCCTCCTGCTCCATCTCGTTCTCTCCGTCTCTGCTCTGATGGTGAAGGAATGATGGAATGCTGGAGGGTAAATCTCTGGTTTCCTGGAAGCTGGTCTGGCTTTATCAGAAGCGGCTGTGACAATACTCCAGCTGATGGGCCAACCAAACGTCTTTCCTATAAGGGGCCGATCAGCCAACAAAAAGGCTTCCTGGAAGAAATAATCAGCAAACCTGGGGCCCTTCCTGGAAGACCAATGTGGATTGCTCGATGCAGGGCATATTCCTAACCCCTTTAATATCCTTTCCTCCTACAACGCTCCACGGCGTTGACATTGGCATCAGCTCAAAAATGAAAAAGACGCATAAGAACATAATGTTTTCAATCAGACTCTGAGATTGTTATCAATCAAAGCACCTAACTGTTAAGACATTCGTCCTCTAGATTAACATCTCAGTTCCTTGTGTTGCATTAATACCATTATGAAGCTCAGGAGGCAGTGCCCAAACCTTGGTGTGAATGTTTTGATTGTTGAAAAAGTCGAGCTCAGTTGTTTGAGAGAGCCGGGTGTTGTGCTTGGCATGGGACTCTGTTGACAACCGTTGAGTTGGACGCAGAAAGTCATTACCCGAAAAAATGAATCATGGTGGAAAGACTTTCTGTGAGTGTGTGAGATTCACGAGAGGGGCCGAATGATACAAGTAAAATATTCCAGCCCCACTAACCAGGCAACTATGGGGAACATAAAGTGAGTCATCGTGAGCTGAGCTGGCTTATTTAGACAATGTGTGTGCGTGTGTTTGTGTGTAAAACTGGATTATTCTGGTTGGATTTTGGGAAGAGGGCTCACTCATTCCTGTTTGTCTCTCCAACTACGTCATGCATGTCTATAATTTCCCTACTCAGTCTTCCTCTCATAGACAAATCGTGACACCCACATACGTTTGCACACAAACACAAGCGTACAAACAGCAGCTTTAAGCACACGCACACATTTTTTCCTGTAAGTGTCATAGCAAAAATAAGGAGCAATGGAAGTGAGTATTTGAATCATTGTAATTACCTGGACTGAGGTAAGCTGAAAAAACAGTTATTAAACATTGTCTGCACACTCCCACAAACGCCTCATATCCAGAATCATATGTGTGTCTCTGTGAGAGGTGTAATGTACAGAGGGGACAAAAGTACACAGTCTTTATTTACTTTTACAGATACTTGTGTACAAAATGACTCAAGCTAAAGTAAAACATCTTTACTGCAGTTAAGTGAAAAAGTTTGTATTAACAGAAGGTTGTTTTTACGAGCTGTTCCAGTGCAAAGTATACTGAACCTAATAACCAAATAAAGAGCTGGATATAATGAACATTGACTTTGCTCTTTGGGAAAATCTGTTGCATTAGAAAGCTGTTGACATACCTTTTTTTTTTGACTGGGTGGGGGGACCAAACTGGGAATGTTTGGTTATTACTCAAGTAGTCTGTGTAGCTTCTCAGTCATCCAGGTCAAATTTGAAGCTTGGTCCAAAGGCAACTGACGACCAAGACCAGTCGCCTTTCGATCAAGCTTTGAATATTACTCCAGTAGAGAAAGAAATCCACTTCAAGCTATTTTGAGGAACTTTAATTGTTTCATTCTTGGCGCTCCCTGTGGGCAAAGTATAGGTCAACGTGATATTTAATGGAAAAAAAATCCAGGGGGTGCCAGTTGCCATAGTGATTTGTGCATGCGCCCCATTTTCAGAGGCGGGTCCTTCAAGTGGGCGGCCAGGGCGCCTGGGTTCAAATCCCACCTGTAGCTCCTTTCCTGCATGTCATTCCCAACTCTCTCCCCCCCCCAATCTCTGACTTATCCACTGTCAGATCCCAAAATAAAAGCATAAAAAGCCCCAAAAAGATGGAAAAAAAAAACCCTTCCTGTATTTTAACAGACAAAAGTTTCTCATGGTGTTAATCACCTGTGACACTGGTAACAGACATAAAAAATCACTTCAAATATAAAGAAAATATCATTTTTAAAGGTCCTGTTCAGTTTTTAACATCATATCCAGGCACCAGTATGAATTTCAGTCTTTTTTAGAATCACCTAAAAACTCCTCACAGGCGCTTTAAGTACAGTAACGAAGAGTTTATACCTTATGTTCCCTGATTTCATTGACCTTCTGAATTTGATTCTCTTCCTGCATAATTCTGCTTTTTCTCTCATTTTCCTCCCATCACTCACGCACACACGCACACAAATACACCTCATCGGCTCTTTCTCTCACACACACTATCACCAGTAAAGCCGTAAAAAGTCAACTCAATTAAAGTGCCTCATTTCCTGGAAGCCAGCCTCAGACAGAACAGTAGGTATGCAGGGAATGGGAAATGTGTGTATGTGCGTGTGTGTGTGTGTGTGTGTGGCAGGAATATAGAGGCTCACCTCCTGCGTTATTTTACCAACTGCAATCTACACACACTCTCTGCATCAGTTGAAAACCACAGACCATCATAAATCTCCTCCACGTGGACCCTTTCACCTATTTGACCACACACACACACAGACACACACACACAGACACACACACACACACACACACACACACACAGACACACACACACACACAAACACACACATACTCTCTCTCTCTCTCTCTCTCTCTCTCTCTCTCTCTCTGGAGGACACCATCCTCACTCAGCCCCTCAGGCAGGATGTATAAAACCCAGCTGCATTCCTTTCCAGTTAAGTCCAGCCCAAAGTGAGCTTTCTACACAGTAACTGCTGTGTCAGAGTGCGTGTGTGTGTGTGTGTGTGTGTGTTAACTTCTGGGAATCCCTTTGTTACTGTGTTGTGAGCATCTGCGAGGCATGTCTGAGAAATTCATTTTTACCCACCCCCTTTCCTATATGTTCTCTAGCAGCCTATGGAATTTACCCATAATGCTCCAGCAGAGAAAACAAGAAGTGATGATTGCAGTAATTTCAACCCCATGATGAACGAGTATTGTCTGTGGAAGCAGGCTGGTCTGGCTCTTGTGAAGCCGGCACACTGAATAAACAGAACCTTGTTGAACTAGGGAGCCCTATTTGACAGTTAATAATCTGCTAGTAAGCCCGGGCATTGTTGTGTCATCGACTCCCTTACAATGAATTACGGTAAAGTAGAGCTCATTCAGTAAACACTGACTCAGTGAAGTAAGAAAGAGAAAACAAAACAGCAAAGTAACACACAAGACAACTGCTTCACTTTTGTAAAAATAGTGCTCTTTAATATAAATTATTGAAATATTTTAGAAATATAAATATGTGCAACGTTCCTTTTTCATTTATGTTGTTTTGTTTTTTTTGTAATGCTTTGTCATTTCAGATACTACAGCTTTTATTATGCCAGACTAGTGGCCAGCCTTTTTTTTTTTTTTTTTTTTTTTACAAGTCTTTATAAAAGACAAAATGATTCACAGACACGTGTGGTCCACTGCTGCTGCAACACATGTAAGAACTTGAACTTTTTATGAGAAAATAAGACTTGAGATTTGACAAAAACAAACTTTTTGTCACATTGGTCGTGTTTCCACAAACGTAGAGTGTTTTGCATATTTCAAAGCATTGTGTTTGAAAATCAGATAAGAAAGGCTTAATTTGACCAAATGTTCTAAATTGCGCATGTTGACTCTTGTTTGAGTGGTTATTTTTTTGTTGGCCTTTGTTTTAATAAAGTCTGATGCAGTACATTTTGAAAAAGCTAAAATGCACCTTTAAAAAAGTCCATGACAAGTCGTCATGAACGATCAAACTTGTACAGAAGAAACCACTTCTTTGGAAGATTTTTTTTTTTCCATTCTTCTCCTGTCGCTGTTTGTTTCTGGTTTTGCAAACACAACACACTTCTGCTGTTTTTCCTGGTAAATTACAGCCGTGTGTAAAGCTCAGCCTCAAAACTTCTGAGGAAACTACTCTTGGCAATGAGACTTGTTTGTTGGTGCAAACCAGTCGATTAGAAAAAGCCTTTTTTTTTTTCTCTTCTGTGAAATTTCAAACGTTTGCTTAGAAAATTGCTTGACAGTTCAATGGAAACACGACTACATTGTTATACTTCTGTGCTCCCGGCTTAAGTGGCCACATGAGATCACAAAATGTTGATGATGTGAAAAAGGCTACCACTTCTAAAATCAGGTCACAGTTCAGGATGAGCACTGGTTAAAACACACCGTTCATCAAATCCAAGTCTCTGTTTTACAAAAGGCTTTTTTTTTTTTTTTTTTTTTTTTTTTAAAAGAATCACTTTAAGGACGTCTTGTGTTCCTTTGACATTCACACAGACAAAACGAACTCCTGCTTCAGAGGTAACGATGGAGAACAGATGGGATGCGAACACTTTAAGAGGAAGAGACGAAATTAAACCGACCGCATAAAAAGTTAATGTCCTCTCTGTTATCCACTACAGGCTGTGCTGTAACGCCTCATTTCCACTGTTTGTTATGACTTGACTCGCCTCACTCGAAACCGTCCTATTTTTATTTATTTTTTTTTTTTCATTTCTGAATTGGCAAGAGCTGTGAAGCATATACCTGGTCCTTTCACCGGCATCAGCCACCAGGGCAGACAAAGAAGTGAAAGCCTTCCTAACGACTGATTGCTCAGCGGGAATCACTTCACTGTGGCTACTTTGCAAAGAGTGAAAGGACTTCAATACGCTCTCCCAGAACTCACATTACTTATGTTGAACCAGTGCATTAGATTTCTCTCTGCTTCTGTGTGTTTTTTTTGAAGGGACAAAAACAGCAGAGAAGGCACTGGTACCAGCTCCGAGTGAGTGGAACAAAGACTAAGCTGTGTGGAAAAGAGGCAAGAGGAAAACCGTGGAGGAGAGAGAGAGACGCTTAGTCACACAGGAATATGTTTGAGATGATAACATAAAAGAAATAACCGTGAGAGGCTCCAAAAAGACAGACTCAGTCGGAACTTTCTTTTCATATCCTTTAGCAAGCTCGGTTCTATACTTACAGGAGCAGCGTCCTGTTGAGCCTGATCATTTCCTCTAAGTCTGAGACATCAATCACGTCAATGTTTTTTGTTTAGCTGTATACCAGTATGTCTCCTCCCACTACTCCACCCCCCCTCCCCAGCCCCCTCCCCAGTTCTTTAGTTTCCTTTTAGCTAATCCCATTTCCCGCTCTTCTTCTTCTTCTTCTTCTTCTTCTCTCAACCCCTCTCTCCTCAGCCTCTTTTTTTCCTCTAGGATCCTCATCCTCATCCTCATCACACCCAAAGGAGTTTTACAGTGTCGCTGACAATTTTTCCAGCCGCTCTGGACAAAAATAAGTTCCGCTGTTTTGTTTGGTCACGCGCCAACGCTTTTGTCTCAGTAACAGCCGCCTGTTTTGTGTCATTGTCAAAGCGAACATTCAACCCCCCCCAAAAAAAAAAAAAAAAAACATTTTCAGAAAAAAAAAGAGGGCTTGGGCAGGGGAAGGGGGGGGGTGGGATGGTAATGGAGGAGAACCGAGAAACAAACAAACAAAATGAGAAGATGCTTTGTAATGCTTTTTCCACACTCTTGTTCCCACGCTAACAAATCCTACACATGGGCCTGTACCTGCTTGTATGTGTGTGTGTGTGTGTGTGTGTGTGTGTGTGTGTGTGTGTGTGTGTGCAGAGCTAGCGTGCATGACCACCCTGCTCCCCCCTCTATGAGGCAACATTTGCGGGAAGCAGCGATGGAAATGTGTGCGCTGCCACAACACACACAAAAACACACACACTCAGGCAAACAAATACTCAACGCTCTCTGCTTTAGTTCCCTCCGTGTGGACTCCTGTCTTTTCTCTGTAAGCTCCTCCATCACTGCCCCCCCCCACACACACACACACACACTCCACACCCCCCAGTCTCTCTCTCTTTTTTTTTTTAGCCGTCTTTCTCTCTGTCCAGTGATCCACAGTGTTGTAAATGTCAGGCTGACCGAAGGAGAGGAGAGGTTTTCTTCTGAAGCGCGTGAAACTCCTCCTTTATATTGATCAGGTTGTCATCGTTAATATCTACCAATCAGGTTAATCTTCTACGAGGCTCTGCTCTGCGTCTGTGTCAGTCTTAGGAAACACTGACCCTTGACCTCTCACGTCATCTGCCACTCTCACACTAGTGGTCAGTTTTAGGAGGCAGGACCAGCGAGGTAACCATTATCTGAATCCAACTTTTCATCCCAGTCCCCATGTTGGCGGGGAGGGGGGAGGTGGGGGGGACTCTGGGGTAGCTGGTGTCTGTCAGTGTCGAACCAGATCTGGGATCAGCTGGTCACAATGAAAATCGGACCTCATACTGATCACGCGTCATCATCTAACGCTGATTCTGGTCTGTATCTCGTTGTGTGCATTTTATTTATTTATTTTTTTTACATATGCACTGAGAACTGGTCTGCAGCATCCTTAAGACACCCCGGTCCTGGACGGTGGAACCTCTCTGATTCCTGTCAGTCATATCGGGGCATCGTACTCCTCCAGGAAGTCTTTAAGCGTTTGCGGGAGCTGCTCAGTCCTCTCCGACCCCCCAAAGCCTCGGTCGTTCAGGGTCCTCCTGCACATGTGCTGCAGGGACGAGAGCGACGTTGAGAGGGGCCGGCGCAATTCCAAGGGAATCCTCTCACCCCCGGTGTGGATCAGATACACACTGCGCCCCTTCATCTCTGCCTCTCCTGGGTTGCCCCCGCACGCCCCTCCTCTGCTCCTCGCAGCCTCCGGCCCCTTCCCCATGTAGTGCGCGATAAGTTTCAGCACACAGTCGAACTGCGGGAGCTCTTGCGTGTTTTGGGGGTCTGGTTGTAAGAAAAAGCCGCCTCCTTCGCTGTGGATGCGCAGGTTCTTGGTACCCCGAGCCGTCTGGACAGAGAGGGTGAAGAAATAGTGGTGGTCTGAGGAGTCGCGGATCAGGAAGGTGCCTGGTGGTTCAGAGCGCAGCATGGAGCTGGCCTCCCGGCCCCCGACGGCCCCCCAGTAAAACCCACTTTCCTGGAGCTTATGCAATGCACGCATCACCTGAAGGAGAAAACCTACATTAGAACGCATTGTAATGATGCATAATGCTGTTTCTCTACTCAAAGCTATCTCTCTGAAAACAATCAGGCGTTCCTCACCTGCTGGTAGTGTGCGTGTGATCTGAAGGGCTTGTAGTGATGCGGGGTGAAGTTTGACCCGTGAACCCTGCCCACAGGAGAGGTCACGCCGCTCATGGCGAGGTGGTTTTGCCCGCCGGAGGCTACCATGGTGCCATGGCCCCCTGCCTCTGCCCGCTGGCTGCGAGGCAGGGGGCCCGGGACAGGAGTGTCGAGGTGGAAAGGTGCGGCGGGGGAGTTTGGGTCGGAGGGAGAGGGAAGAGAGGGAGACAGGGGTGAGGGCGGCGGGGTCACACACCGGGTCCAGGGCCCCGGGGGAGAGGAGTCCGATGCATCCAGAGAGGGGCTGGGAGAGAGCACCTAAACACAGCTGGAGAGAGAGAGAGAGAGAGAGAGAGAGAGAGAGAGAGAGAGAGAGAGGAGGCGCACGGATTACAGACTGATGCAGCACACATGCGAAAAGCAAGATGCATCACACAACACAGTTTCCCCTTGAGTCATTCATAAGCACAGACACGAATAAATCACCACTTTGCCACACTGGAGCTCTCAGTTTACTCTCACAGAATGCTGTTATGGTGACTGGGACAAATGCGTGAAGCAAGACTGGGCAGAGCAGGAAGGTTATATATAGTTTACATGAATCCTAGTATGCTGCTGCTGCTGCTGCTGCTGCTGCTGCTGCACCGTGCAGCCAGACGGGAACTGGATCCTGATTGCTTTCAATTGTCTTCGATCGGGCGTACCGCAACAAGGGATTTCAGAAACGGGGTCACTGTGAAAGAGTCCGACGCGTTTTTTTTTCTTCTCTTTTGACAAAATAACTCCTTTCTCCCCTGCTCGGAGGCGACACAGAGGCCCCATTCTCCGGTTTCACTGTGACTAAAAAGGTGTCCCGTTTTCACTGATCCTCTGTGGGCCCCCCCTACCCACCACCACCCCCCCTCCCGCATTAAAAAGCAGCCGGACAGTGCGGGAGGGATAGCAGGAGGCGCCATAACGGTTCCAGCAGCATTTTAAAGAGCCGCTGGAGTAGAGGTCAGAAACACTATTCATAATATGATGGAGAGGAAAAAAAAAAAATCCCCCTTAATCTGCGCTTCTTCGGCTGCACTGCACCAAGAGCCTCGAACAGCAACATGAGAACTGCTGCTCTTATATTTGTAAACCCTCTGTGTTTTTTTTTTGTTTTTTTTTAGGGTTTATCTGTCGGCTTCAGCAGCTCTGAAACATCTCTCCCTCAGTCTTGTTGAACTTACCTTGCGATTATGTTGAGCTCCGCACCGCAGCCGCTCGTCGCCAAAGCAAAAGCTATGCAAACTACCCGAGAGTAGTGCTGGATGAAATATTAACTCAGGCATTAAAATCCAAACAAAAAAAGTATCCAGAAAGTGTTAAAGGGGGGGTTTCTCTTTTCCTGCGCGGAGGAATGCGGCGGCGGCGTCGATATCAAGCTGGAGAGATCCAGTGAGTGGATAAAGGTTACTGTGGGATGTTTCCAATGACGATTCCTATTCGGAAAGCTCCGCCTCCTACGGAAAGCCCCGCCCCCCCTCCGGTTAGAGGTTCCTGGAAATACGCTCGCGCACACTCGCGCACGCAAAGAACAGACACGCGGGCTCGCGCTCCCCCGTGGCAGATTGCCAAGAAATAATAATGTGACCTTTGCCGACTTGTTTCCTGGTATTGGTTGGGTCTTTTCTTGACAAATGAACGAGTCGAAATCTGCACTTAAAACACAGTGAATGATAGTAATTTGTAGAACTGTTAAATTAATGGAACAGAGGGTGTAGATGGAGGTTAACATGACAACCCTCATGAGGACAGATTTTTAAACATAACAAGCCACTGTATCGTTGCACTTTTGTTCTTTTGGGCTCAATTTGTGCGCACATATGTATTCATAGGGTAGAATATCTGAAAAAATATGACCCAATAACAAAATGTCAGGTAAATACCCACAAAAGTACACATTTGGCTCATTTAATGTTTTATTAATCATACAAATCTATGTAAAAATCATCATTAATTTTATATAGTATACGATTTGTAGGCTATACAAAACTCAAAATTCAAAACTTCATCAGATTTTGGAAATACTGATTTAAAAAAAAAAAAGACTTTACTTACATTTTGTTCTGTTTTGACATTGTGCTGCAACTGCTACAAAACGATTTCCCGCCACATAAATAAAAGCTCTGTCTTATCTATTTTTCAATCTTACTTTTCACCTCTGTAAATGCCACCTTCTTTAATAAGTTATTGTATTTATTTCAATTAAATGGTAAAACTATTTCTACAGCTGCATGTAGGCTACTTTAACTTCTCCCACTGAGGATCAATAAGTAAAAAAAAGATAGTCAACATTTCCATTTTATGGTCAGGCTTCAGAAATGCAACGTGACAGATGATTAACATTTTACCCGCTGCGAGCTGGCAATGGTTTAAAGATAAGGTCCCTCGGGCCCTCATGTCGTGTCAGGAAGTATCTGACTTACTGTAAGTGCTCTTGAGCAACTACCAGCAAAAATCCATTGCAAGCAGAAGTCCTGCATTCAAAGTCTTACTTCATTTGAAGTGTGTTATCAGCTAAATGCAAACATTCTGCTGAATGGCCGTGGTCAGTGTTGTTTTCTTCTCTTTTCTTTTCATATAGTTTGTTACTATTTGTGCATTATGTATAAGAAGCAAGTCTCTTGGGTACTTCATATACTGTAAGTTAGTTTAATAACCTGCATCCAACCCAATATGTTTAAATCCACAATAACCTCAACTAAAAAATACTAAAGATGTAATCCACTCAAAAGTATTTAGCAGAAAAGGAAATACAGTGTCAATCCAATCAGCCTATAAATGATTTATACTTTTCAGTCCGCGCCTTTCTCTGTGTTGAGTAATAGCAAAGAGAGAGATTACAGTCACCGTCTTAATAAGATGAATACAACACCTATAAAACAATTACAACAACATACTATTACCCGCCTTCCAAATGAGTCTTTGTCGTATGATAACAAGCCGAGATATGGGTGGAGCGAGGTCCTGTTCCAATCAGAGGTTGAACCAAACACTGTGTAAATTATTACACACCCTGCAGACAGGGGCTTAAACAAACAGCTACAATAAAGGACAAGAATGAATCATGTGCTCACACAGAGGAGGACAAAGATCTAAAAAAAAAAGTGATACGCACAAAAATAGACTCCAGCAAGCAGGCAATGGATATGCAAATGTTATCTTGATGTGCCAGGAAATCTGTGATGCCTGATCTAAGTTTTAGTGAGAATTTGACAAATGTCTAACTGCATAACAGGAGTTTTAAAGTAGTTTGGACTCTGGCCGCTAGAGGGCATTTAAAGACATTTAATTCATACAAAAACACAAACAGATACAAGTACTGTAGTATTTATCTTCGTTTTTTTTTTTTTTTTTGTCAAAGTTAAAGTAAGTTAAACACATAACAAGCGATTTGAATTCAATTGAGCATTTCAGACTAAATTTGCAACACCAGTTACAGTTGTGTTTGTGAACCCCGGAACTGTGTCGATAAAGTTTTTTCAAAAGTCTTCTCTGCAGCAGCAGCAGCAATGGCGGCTCCCATGTCCTGGAGGAGGCTGGTGCACTCCATGTACACACCGGCCATCGCCGGGGTTTTTACCCGAATATCCGACCGACTCTTCCGTGCACGGGACAGAAGAGGAGGGTAAGAGACTCGGTTAATCCTCGAGGTTTAAAAAAATCAACAAAATAAACGTGCGCAGTTTGAGACGCGTTGCTAATGTTGTTGCTGCTAACCTAGTTGAATGTCGGACGTTGTGTCATTCCTTTGATCTTCTTTTTTAAAAAAAATGGAAAATCCACAATGAGCACGCTTCCCACATACTTTGCACCTAATAGTTGAGTTTCAATCACGTTCCTGAGTTTGAAAACAGAAACTAACCTGCAGGGGGGAAATGGAGGTTTTCATAACTTTTAGTTCTGTACATGCTGTTCCTCTTCACGTTTATGTAACACATCTTCTTCTTCTGCTGCTGCTGCTGCTGTCCCATCATGTCAGGGGCTTCATACCTTTCCCCATCAGCTGTGTGGCTACATGCATGAATAATATCTCAGATCAGCACACCTGCGGTTGATATTCGTGTTGCCTCTTGTTGTTTAGGTCCATTCAGAAGCACAGGGTGGGTGATGATGATGATGATGATGATGATGATGATGACTCAATAAAACAACTTTCTCCTACATCCAGATAACAGAAACGCACACTGAGTGAGGGATGTACTCATTCGGTGTGCCAGATGAAGAGTTTAAGGTCTGTGAGCAATACATTTTGTCAAGATCTTTATGGTTTTGTGAGGTTGTTTTAACCCCAAACAGTGGACTCAACTTTTTTTTTGTTTTTTTTATTTATTTGTTAGGGACAGTGCATATTAATGAGCAGCTGTAAAAAAAAAAAAAAAAATGCAGAAGTGCTAGTTTCCATCTGTTGTCTCTAGGCAGGTAACAGAGAAAGACAAAGTTACAAAAGCGACACAAGACAGTCATAGAGGTTAAAGGTTAAAGGTGGTCACAGACTTGGTTTTCTTTTATCCACTGTTTGAGGTGTGTTTTTAACGTTGCATATGTTTGTGAGTCTCTTATTGTGAGTGGGAGAATATTCCAGTATTTAGTTCCTTTGACTGACTGAACAGTTTGAATGCAGTGCGTCTGTGTGGGACCTCACTGTCTCCTCGGGCTGTGGCCCCTGGTGCCGGTCCCACTGGCAGACTTCAGCTTTATGAAGTCCTTCAAAGGGAGGAGGAGGAGCAAGTCTGTGCAAAATATTATATATAAAACATGCATTTTTTTTAAATGAACAAAATTATGAAAATTTAGTAAATTATGTTTATCTAAAACAGTGCAATGGTGAAACGAAAATACCAATTCGTTTATTAATATTTTGCCATATAACTTTGTTATTTCCTTTTGCATCTTCAATAATAGTCATGAAGAAATTTGCCTTCGCCCGCCGCGTTGTGCTTATTACTTTATTTCTAAGTGAGGTAAATCTCTGTCTGTCTGTGGTCAGACCTTTCATTCAGTTTTCTGCAACTTTTCCCACAGTGCGTCTCAGCACTATCATTATCTATTGTGCTTAAAATTACTCACCCAAGCCACATTTATCTGTTTGAACAACAGGTAATGTAGGACGTGCCAAGAGGCCGTGAACAATATGTCAACATGTCACTGCTGGGAGAAAAAAGTGTTTATGTTTATGTGGAATTGATCTGATGCTATGTGTTTAGTATGATCTCTATTTATGTACTTTTTTTTGTACTACAGTCTTCCGCAAATAATACCCTTTATAGTTCCCTTTGTGTGAACCCCCCCACCCATTATTAAATGCAGTTAGACAAGGTTACCAGGATCTCAGATCAAGACTTTTACTGATAAATAAAAAGCACAACCACCACTGATACAACTATACAATGAAGAGAACAGAGGAATGTGTATTTGAACTCTAGTGAATGTGCATGTAAAACGTGCTATACAAATAAACTTGACTTGACATGTAAAGACTTATTTAAGATACAGCAGAGCTTAGAGATTCTTAAGAGTCAAGAGGGTCAAAGCTTAAAGCCCAAAATGATGACAAGGGAGTATGTCCAAATTAATGCAAACTCTAATCTGAAAAGTACAGATAACAAAAAAGCGTTCCCCTCAGAAGATCTTGACAAGATGGTTGTTGTTTATACTGCACCGACCTTGAAATTGCACGAAGCAGCTCAGTGGATTCAGCTATTATTCGCTTATTATACATCTACAGTAATACACAGGTTATCATCTCGGAGATTCAAGAGTTTTATTTGTCACATGCTCATACAGATGTGCAGTGAAATGTAAATACTGTTCCACAAGGCCATGCAATAAACACTCAAAAATGACTATTACACATATATACAGATTATGTTAAGACTAAAAAATATGCAAAATGTATGAAATGTAAACAGTGTAAAGGTGGTGTCTCTTAGTAGTTATTGAGTTAACATAATGGAGATTGAGTCCATTCCTCTCTGATCAATGCCTTTACAGTTCATGAGGTACTGGAGGTACAGGATGGTGGACAATTCCTGGAAAAATAAGTCACTAATGGGAAGTCTGTCCATTCTGTTTTCTCCGGTCTCTGTTAGTGTTTCTTTGTCTGTATGAATAAAGAAAAGATTGATGACTTTAAACGGTGAGAGTTTCAACACCGTCGCAAATGAAGGGAAAAAATAAATCCACGTTCAGATGAAGGAAAACAGTCGACGCGACCGACAGCGTAGGGAAACGCGGTTACCTGCCGTTAGTTGCAGCTTTTTGCAGAAGATATCGGAACAGAGATCTTTGACTTGGTTACGCTTTCAGATAACACTGAAGCGTCCGGGGATGTTTGTGGTTTATTTGGCGTCCTGATAAAATCGAAACACTGTTGCTCATAAACTGTTGAATTCCTGGAAGGTGACTTTATTTGCCAAAAAAAAAAAAAAAAAAAAACATAGTTTGGGCATGACGGAGCCTGCCAGCAGAATCTGTCATCTATCATCTTATCAGTCACACACGCACAGACCTCCGCTCTGTAGCTCTGGTTTCTGTCAGAGTCGAAGCTTGAAGCAGGAAACGTTTTAGAATGTGTTTATGACTTGTTAATGGAGCAGACAAACGAGAGCACATCATTAATACTACTATTTATGAAAGTATGGTACAGTATGTGGTGTATTTATATTTGTTTAAGTAAGACCAGGGGTTCCCAAACTTTCAGCTCATGACCCCTAAAATAAGATGCTAAAGACTGGAGACCCCTACTGTCCCTGCAGGTGGTTTAAACAGCCGGGCACACTAACAGGCCTATTCGAACACTGGCAGTATAACAATCAATTATAACAATGTAAAGTGCCAATTTATGTTGTTATCTCTAGGAAAAGAGCAGGTAAAGACCATACTCGACAAAAAAGAACACAACCGCCTGAACACCGTGTTTACTGTAAGAAACATGTGGAGCAGAACATTTTTTTTGGCATCTATTTTCACAATAATGGGTCTAATATTCCATTTTAAGTCATTTTTATATGTTTTAGGACGACCACCCCCAGGTGGTGCCGACTCCCACTTTGGGAACAACTGCTTTAGACCTTGTTTTTTTTGTTTTGTTTTTGAAGTGAAGTCATAATGCGATAACCATCCGCTTGGTTTACCAAGTTATGGTAGCTGTTTGGAGACAAGTCTTTCCTGTTTAAAGCTGACATCAGCATGACAGTGCATATCTGCTTTAAGACAGGTACCAGAAGATTTGATTTCTGTTTTCGATATGGCCCCTTTCATACATGAAATCGTCATGTTTTCTAGATAATTTGCCATATTGCTTTTCACATATGTACCTCACAGTGGGAGATTATCATTTACATTATTTGAAGAGTCCTGTTTGGCTCAGGTGGGGGCAGGAACCTGGAAAGAGCATGCAGGAGGAGGAGGGGGAGTCTTCCCACTAAATACCACTAAAAGTTGTTTGTAGGTGTTTTCATCCTGACTTTGTTGTAAACATTTTCTCGGGGGCTGGCAGAAAAAACCTGGGTGAAGTCAGGATGAGCAGATTTGGTCATCAGATTTCACACATGCATCCCTCATGTCAGGACATTTCAGGAGTGCAGTGCATGTGTGAAAGAACGCTAATGGAAGAGCCCTCACCTTTATGGATAAACTGGATTCAAACTTTTCCTGAAAGCCTTCCTATGAGAGACGATCTTTGAACCCTTCAGCTGTCATCAACGACCATTTAGCCTGTTTGGGCAACAGCCAATATTTCAGCGGATATCTGGATTGTTTATTCTAGATATCCAGGCCATGAGTTTCTCCTGGTCATTTATTAAGCCTGACTACAACCTGAGAAGAAACATTTCATCAAGGTTTGGAATTCTCACTGGAACTTTTCCAGAAATCCTGGAAACTTTGGGAATTTTAAGGCAAATTTTCTCTAGAATTTCTCAGAATTTTAGAAAAATTTCAGGAATTTTCAATTAAATGTTCCTTTCCGGAAAAAAAAAAATATATAGACATTTTCAGAAGAATTTTCAGTTCAATTTTTTTATATATATTTTCAGGAACATTCATGAAAGT